AAAGTAGGCTTATGATTAAATTATTAAAATATGATTAATATAATCAATATAATATATTAAATAAATTTGCTATATTAAATATATAATTATATAATTTTATGTAATTAATTTTATGTAAATTTTCATATATAGTAAAATAGTTTTTTTTTTTAGTTTTTAAAAGAATATAATAGTTTTTTTAATAGTTTAAAAAAAATTAATTTAATAGAATCCTTTGTCTTTTTATTTTTTTATATTTTTTTTATATTTTATTTTTTTATTTTTATGTTATAATTAACAAAATCTAATTTTACAAATATATATCATTTTTGATAGAGTTATACTTGCTTAATATATTTCTACTACTTATTATTAAAAAAATTTATTTTAACAAATTAATTTAATTTTATTTAAAAATCTTATTTATAATTTTTAATATATTTTTTTAAATAGTTTATTCTTCTTTATTATTTTTTATTAAAGTTTAATATTATTATCTTTTCAAAATTTTTTTTTATTATCTTTTTTATAAACTTAGTTTTTATTTCATATTTTTCTTTCTTTTTTTTCCTTTATTTTATTATTTTTTTTTATTCATAAATATTATTTTCCATAATAATACATATTTAAAATCTATTTTTCTTCATTATTTTATTTTTATTTTTCCCTTTTTTAATTAATAATTTATCTTTCTATTTTTTATTATATTTTTTTTTATTTATGTTTTTTTCGTTTTATTTTAAATCTTTGATTGATTATTATAAGTTAATTATTTAATTATTTTCTATATTATTTATTATGTTATTATTATTAATTTTTTATTAAAAATTAATATTATGTAATATTTATACCATTTTTTAATTTGTTTTTTTATTTCTTTTTTTTTTTTTTATTACTTATTTTTTCTTAATTTATTAAAAAAATAGGTTTTTATAATTTTATGAGAGATGTTTAATATATTAAAGAAATACCTATTATCTCACTATTAATTTTAATATATCAAAGAATTTTTTAATACTTTTATTATTATATTAAGATATAATAAAAGATCAAATTTGTATTTAATATAATTTTTAAAATTAATTATTTATAAACTAATAATTATATAAAGAATTAAGATAACCTATTATTCTTTTTTAAATATTTAATTTATATATAATTTTTTTTTATTTATAGTTAGATTTATATGATTAATTTGATTATATAATAAAATTATATTTTATTTATATTATCACTGTAGAATTCTTTAACTCAGGTTGGTATATCTTTAAGTCTCTACTTTAGGTATTTAACTGCAATTTACTATAGTTAAAATATTTAAATCTGCTTAACCTTTAACTTTACAAAATCTACGTATTTAAACTTAATAAATCTATCAAGTATGAAGATTTGAAAGATAAGATTATAAAGATTATGAACAATTTAATTAAAAAATTCAGATGATAAACTCAATTACAAATAATGTGTAGAGATCACATCAGATTATATAAAGACATAAAAAGGCAGAAAAATATAAGTTTTAAATTGATTTCTTTATTAATATTGAAACTCAGTTTTTAATCTGTAAAAGAGTTAATTTACAATATAAGCAAAAATCTATCTATTTATACAAAATTTTTTTTATCATGGCTAATTATTTACTATACTATAAATTAACTAATCTGATAAATAAAATATAAGTAAAATAAAAATAATAAGAATGTGTAAAATAATAAATATATAAAATATAATAAAAAGAATAATAAAAATTAGAATATTAAAAATAGGTATAATACTAAATATTCCTAGATTTTGTTTAACTTATAAAATTAGGATTATCATCAATATTTAGAAGATCTGTAGAATTATATAAATCCTCTATATTTTGAGAATTCATAGAATTCTCAGTATTTTCAGAATTTTAGATTAAAAGATTATTATACTGTATCATTCATGTAACTTTATTATTATTAATTAATTGCTTCATTGATAATATAAATTTAAACATCAATTAATTTGTAGATTTTTCTTTAATTTTACATTCCTTTCTTAATATTTCTAATTTTCCATTTCTTTCAATATTAATTCTAATTTTAATTCCTTTACTATTAATTCCTTTTTATTTAAATATAATTTCTATTTGCTTTTTTTTTTATTAATATTTTTAATATTACATTATTTTTTTACTATCATTTCTAATATCACATCATATTTATTTTTAGATTTATAAAAATATCTTGTTATTACAATTTCTAATTTCTATAATAACTTTATTTTAACTTTATTTTTATCTTAATTCCTATTCTTTCTTTATTATTATATGTATTCTTTTTTGATATTTTTTATATATCAGTTTTTGATTCTTTTAGGATCATTATAATAATATTATTATATTATTTTTATTTTTAGTTATTTCTATATTTTTTTCTTTATTTTTAATAATTATTCTTTTATTTTTTCTTATTCTTTGTATTTTATGTAATAATTTTTCTTTTCTTTTATATACATAATATTTATGCTTCTTCTTCATTATTTTTTATAATTTCCTTTTTTAAAAATATAAATTATATAAGTATTCTATAATTTCATTTATTGGTTAAGCTTCTATATGATTTTTATATATATTTATAGATTATCTTTTATCTTAAAAGTTTTTTAAATATTTTCTTTTTTTATAACTTAAATTATTTATTTTTCAAGTCTTATGATTAATATGTAATTTATATTATATTTATTATTATTCATCATATGATCTATTATTTTTCATATAATTGTATTACTTATTATATGATTTATTTTGTATTATTATTTATTTTTATAATATTTCTGTATAATTTATTATATAATTTGATTTTATTATTAGATAATTTGTATATTATAATATAATTTCAGTTATTTATTATTTCTTATCTTATGATTTGACTTTGTTTTATAATATATGATTTTAGATTAGTTATTTTTTCCATTATGATTCTTTATTCAATTAGTTATTTCCTTAATATTATAATTCCTTTAACATTATCTTCTTTATTGAAAAGGATTATATAATATATTATTTTAAAATTTTTTACTTTATAATGTAAAAAATTAGAATTAAAAATAAATATTCTTATTATAATCTCATTGTTTAAACTATTTTTGTTTTAAAGTTTGATAATCTTTAATAAATAAAATAATAGATAATTATTTTTGTAATTAAATTATAATATGACTCTTGATATTTTTAAAAATCTTTTCTTTTGTTTAAATTAAAATGAAACTACTTAAATTACTTATTTAATAACTGTAATTTATAAAAATTATTCAATAATATTATAATTATATAATATAATTTATTTTATTATAAATTCAATCTTAGTTTTTTTTTTATTTTTTATAAAATATTATAAATCTATTTAAAAATCTATTTTTTTTTATCTTTATATTAAAGATAAAGTAAATTTATTTAAATATTATATTAAAAATTTACAATTTTTTTAGTTTAAATAAAAATAAAATTAATATTTTATGAATAATTTTATATATATAATTCAAATTATTTTTTTAAATATTAAAAGTTAAAAAATATATAATTATTTGATTTTACTTTTATGCTTTTATTATTTTTTTAATATGAATTATATTTACTAATATATTATGATTTACTATGGTCATAATTCAATATTAATAGTAAACCTCCTATATGTGTAGCAATTATTACTATATCAAAAATACTTTATATAGGCATTTTGTAGTAAAAGGAAGGAAACTCCCAAAAAAATTTTTTACTTTATAAGCTAAATATAATTTTTTTTTAGTAAAATATGTTTAGTTTCTTTACCAGTAGACATTGATATTTTGTAAAAAGAGAAAGATTCAATATAAAATTCTTGAATTCTACTATAAGTCTTTGGCCACAAAGCATCTATATAAATAATTTTTATATAAAAATATATATTTTATAAGTATTTTATAAAATTATAATAATAATTATGCCCACCTTTCCTCCTTTTTTTTTGCTGTCTCAAGTGTTCCTTTAATTAAATTTTAATGTATTAATATTTAGTATTTCTTTTTTTAGCAAATTCTATTTGGTATTAATATATTAAGTTTCGGTATATCTTTTATAAATTACTTAATATACTTTTTTATCATTTTGTAAGTTTGGTTAAGGATTATAATTTTAATTGCAGCTTACATACTCTTGTTTTGAACTAGAGGCCTTGCAACGGGCCACGTCCGGACCGGCAAATTATAAGTTAAGCCGGGTTCGGGTTCAAAGTTCCAGCTTCAAAGATTTGGACTTATGCAGGTCTCTATTTGAACAGATTATAAAAGTAATCTTTTATCTATGAATTGATATTCTCATGGGTTTTATAGAAAAATTCTTTGAGTATTAATCTTATATAAGTGATCAATACTACTTTATAAATACTTTCAGTTACCCTGAAATTAACAAATATCAAAATTTGAATAATACTGGAAGCTTTTTACTGTAGAAGGTTGGTTCTACTGTTAATAATAAAGATGCTCGCCATGCATTAATTCAATGCATTGCATAAATTAATGTCACACAAAACATGGACAATTGGTATTTACCGACAATTTCCCTGCACCGACTCCACGTGTTAATTCTATAGTTGTTATCAAATGACGAGGATGTTTTAGAACGATTGATTGTTTAAATTATGTTCTATGTAGAAAATTTATACATTTGATTAAATTGAAACCATATCATTTTTCTTAAATTTAAATAAATAAAATAAAAAATTTTGACATAGAGGAATTCTTGAAAAACAAAAATAAATATGTTAATGTTACAAAATCTTTGTGAAAATTTTTTGATATGCAATGAAATAATAAATTATTATTTAACTCGTCAAAATAAGTAGTTCAAAGTTTGTGCGAAAAAATTATTTTATCATTAATCTAAAGCTTAAAAAAAAGCAAAATTATATTGAATTTCGGAAATATATTATGCCGAGGTATAAAAAAAAATAAAAATAAAAAAAGCTGTATTCATGAGGAGAATTAAAAAAAAATAATAATATTTTCCACTTTTTTTAATATCTATGATAAGGTTCAGCATTTTCGTCAAAACTAATGTTTTCATTATTATCAAATGAGGACCCTTCACTTGGTATCTGACGAACCTCACGTGTGTTTAATGGAGCCGTCATTTCAGCAGTTCTATAATCCGAACCATTTAGCGCATCATATATTCGACCTACGATATCAACGAGCAATACTATCGTACTTGTAACGAGAGTCACGAACGGAATTAACGAATAATCTTTATCCGTATTCTCTTTATACAAAATCTAGGAACAAAAATCAAAAGCAATTTATGCGTTAATTTGACAAAATTCTTTTTTTTTTTTAATAGACTCGAGGACTTATAAACAAAAACCCACCTGAATAACAAATTGGGGTAAATCTTCAAAAAGAGAATTAATAACTCCACCCCATAATATCCATCTGTTAGCCTTAAAAGAAAACTTTGCGTTAAACATTTCACATCCAGCGAGTTGTGAGGTAAGTAATTTCAGAGCTTCAATATCCGCTCCTGCGAATACTGTCATTATTGCCGCAAATTTTGAATATTTTGTTAACCAAACCCTAAAATCATCATTTGTCATCCTTTCATGAACTATGATTATAAATGAAACCACACAATTTATACAGATTGGTCCTATTAAAACAACAAGACTGCGGGTAAGATACACGCGTGGTTAGTCAAGGAAAGTTTGTTTAAAGGGGTAAATTTGAATAATCATACCATGGTTTATAAAGCCATATAACGTCTTTTCCGTTATTCAAGATGAAGAGCACATCGAAAACGAAATCCAAGAAGATCAACGTCATCGAAAATATGACTGAATTTTTTCCCTAAAAAAAATAAAAAAAAAAAATAAAAAATTTGATCTAATCATATTAATTAACAAAAGGGAATCAATCTTCATCAAAAGGTGGGTTAGGGTTACCTTTCGATGTCTAAATAATGCTATAAAGTAGCAGATGATTAGAAAACCCAAGAATACACCAATACTAATGATGGTCGTCTTATTTTGTTGGTAAAAATCTTTAGCTGTGATGACAAAATGATTAGTTAGTTAGTTTACCGATTGTTTAATTTAATTTTTCCGACATAATAAAACTTACGATTAATTTCTTCATTATTTATCTTAAGGTTTTTATTCGGATTACTTTCATTTGCGGTTCTTAATCCTCTCTTGTCGTGATATCCTGTTGTAATTCCATTTTGCATTTCACATAGTGCCAGTTGGGTAAAGTGTATTAAGAAAGCAGATAAAGACAATTTATGATTCATCTTTATTTTTTTACATCAAATATTGGATGTGTCTATAATTCACCCTCTCTCTCTCTTTTTGCAAAAAAAAAAAAAAGAAAAAAGAAAAAAGAAAAAGTAAGGAAAAAAATAAATAAACAGGAATAATATAAATATATAATTTAAGTATATTTATATTTTTACGGAGATGATTTAAGTTTCACTTTTACATTTTTATTTGTGTTTCGTCACAACTAATTTTATTGCATGGAAGTAATTGAAAAAATATCTATGTTTAGTAATTTTGCGTTGGATACGTTGGATTCATTCATTGCTGCGCCACGGAAATTGTTCTTTTCGAATTCGTTTCACTATATAAATCATTGTGTTACAAAAGTACAAAATTCTTTTGTAATATTACCAAAAAAAGGTTATTTTATTTGTTTTCATATATGGATTTCGCAGGAGAAGCACTTTTTTTTTTTTCTTTTTTTCGAAAATCAGGTTTAAAATTCGAACCATGGTTCAAGATATTATTGTGTCGCAAGGAAAAAAACTTTTATGATATACATCTTGTTTGCCACGTTTTTGAACCGTTCGGGTTTAACCTCATTTTCACGATTCCTATTGCAATGGCCAAGCACGCGACAAAAAATTTCGTTGGCTGTGTCGAAAATATTATAAAAAATTCAATTATTTATCATTCAGAAACATCATAATAAAATCACATAACCGTTAACTGGAATTGTTCGAATCACGAGATATTAAAAAAAATTTTTTTTTTTTATGTACATGTCAAGTAAAAAAAGAGTGACCTAAAATAATTCTTTATTCTTATTGTGTAACGAAACTTAAATAATTTTGGGTGTTTAAAGTCTGAAATTAATGACTAATGTAACATTAAATTAAAAACAAAGTCTAACATAAAAAAAGTGTTCATAATAATACATTTATTATACCACCCTCATTACAATAAAGTGAAAAATAAAAAGTTGGTGACTATCAAAATAACTATCCATGAATTTCCTTGATAAAATTTCAATTTATCAGCACTGCCAAGTTTATTATTACCATTGTAAGGCCGAACAGTGGGAACAACAGAAGGAGTAACAAATCCAGTAGGTGTTACTTTCTTTGTAACCACCACCGTTGGTTGTTGAGGTGGTTGTGGTGGTGGTTGTGGTGGTTGTTGAGGTTGAGGTTGGGGTTGGGGTTGGGGTTGGGGTTGAGGTGCTTTAGCAGGTTCTTTTGCTGGTTCCTTAGCAGGCTCTTTTGCGGGCGGTTCTGGTGCCTTTGCCGGTTCCTTTGCGGGCGGTTCTGGTGCCTTTGCCGGTTCCTTTGCGGGCTGTTTGGCTGGTTCCTTAGCCGGTTCTTTTAGTTGTGGCATTGGCAAAGGTAAAGCATCCCTTCTTTTTATATCTGACAAAAAATTTCTTGATTCTTTTAGGTTGATCCCTCGTCTCGAAAATGCGGAATCTTGAACGCTCCTTTTTATAAACATTGAATCCTTGACCTTTGATAGGAAACCTCGATCCTTAACATTCTGACTATATGCAACACATATGACGAAACATAAAGATAAAATAAAAATAATCCGCATATTTTTTTTGTAACTTGTGCTCGTAACGCACACTTTATCATGTAATATTTTTTTGTTTTGTCAAATAGATGATCTTTTGAATATTTACTCCAAGGAATTGTCAAAAAAAATAACAAATTTCATCTAAAATGTAATTATTTTTCTATTTAAGTGATTTTTTTCTTCGTGCTCTGTTTTATATACTGTGTCAAGAAGAATAGGCGTTCGTATTTAATGAATAGCCAATTAAACAATGTAAAATGGGTGCAGGGGGGTTGAAGTTAATTGTGTTCACGTTACACTTCTTTTCTAGTTCCTTTGGTTTTTCTTTTTATTTTTATTTTTTTTTCCTTTCTTTCCTCTTGGTACGTTAAAGTGACGCTTATGAGAGTTTTATGAGGTCGTTGTAATTGTGGTCGATTTAGCACAAGTCATAAAAACGCTCTGGTATACAAATTTTTGATGATACCATATATTTATACAATTTCCTGAAATGGGGTTCTAATTATTTTTAAAATAATAATAAAAAAAAAATTTTTTGGGTTTAACCTTGTTCGGTATACTTCAGTCCATTTGCATGATGGTTTAGAAAAAAAAAAAATTTCAATTTTTATTTAATTATTAAAAAGAAAAAAAAAAAAAAAAAAAAGGGTGCGGTTAATTTTTTTGATAAAAAAGATTACTACCAAAAAAAATTTAACAAATTCAAACTAAACAGAAAGTTTATGAATTATAATCCCAAAGGATGTTTATTTTATGAAATTTAGAAAGTAAGAAAGAGAGGGAAAGGGAAAAAAAAATAAGGTTAACTTCATTTGTTTATTTTTTTCTACTTTATCTAAATAATGGTTATCTAGTAATCTATACATTGTTTTCCGCCTTGATGGTTAATCTTTTTTTTTTTTTTAATTGAAAAATTCCCTTTTTAAATCCATTTCTAATTTCGGTAGAATTATTATGTATATCCCAAAAAAAAAAAAAAAAAATTTGGAGCAAAAGAAAGATATATTTCATATGATAAAGTGATGTCCTAATGAAGTCACGCGAAAAAGGAGACGATCTGGTGTCAATCCTTCCGAAAATTCAAGCCGAAATTGAAAAAATGTAGGATGACCTACTCGGTTGCCATTAAAAGCACTTTGCCCTATAGTTTGGCTTAGTATTAACAATAAGGCGCGGAAATTGCATTAATGGTTTAAACTAATGGCTTATAAAATATAAAATGTCTTTTTGAGATGATGTAAAAAAGTTTTGGCTGTGTCTCCTCTTTTTTTTGTTTTGATAAAAGGCTGAAAATAAACGGGTAAATTGATTGTTTCCGATTATAATGGTTACATTTCACAAATTTATGATAATTATTTATTTTGTTTGTAATTTTGTCCCTCAAATGTTATCATCTTTAAATTTGTTCATAACTCGATTTTAAATAGCATGAAAGTATGAGGATGCAAATAAATTAAGAAAAATTAAATGTTGACTTTCCCGAGTAATTAATTCAAGTAATTTCGAATATTCGATATGAAGATTCATCTTGCACACTTATTTAATAAAACTTTTTGAATTTCAATTCGAATTTCAAACGGGAATAGACATTTTGTGAAATCAAAAAAAAAAACTTGTTTTTAATAAAAAACGATTTCCAATCTGTTTGGTGGGGTGGCTTTGAGATCAATGAACGAACGAGAATTTAACCTGAAATTGGGCTTAGCGGAGATCATCTGCATTTTTTTTTTTTTTAAATTAATTCATTTTTTATTTATCTTGTCAAAAATCTCAAGCCCACTTCATAATAAACAAATGATTGGATTTGTTTTGATTTAAATTTATTCGAAATTCTCGTTTCTTTTTTGCTTTTTGTTTTTGCTATTTGCTTGTGTCAAAGAATCAGCCCTCGACCAAGCCATCATCAACGGCAATCATCATATAATAAATAATTCGCATCGTTTCCTTCCCACTAAGCCATACTTTTTGACATAACGATAAGGTTTTGAAAGATGGAAATCGAGAACTAAGCCACGCAACGTCCAAAGCCTCATTCATACCTTTATTTTTTCTTTGTCATAAACCTTTTTTTAATCCCTTCTTTTTCTTTTTTTATTAAAATTTATAAATACATCTGCAATTTCTCTTTCATATTCAACTGTCGTAAAAAGTTTTTTCTAATTAATTCAACAGAAAAAAAAAAAAAAAAGAGAATAAAATACTTTAAAATTTTTTTTTTTTGGCTGGCTCAGTAATCATACTCCTTTAAACCTTGTGGGGCAGGAAGGGCCCACACAATGGTCGCGAGGAATGTGAGAGCCATCAAGACGAAGCTTGAGAACTTACCATTTGGGTCACACGGCTCGCCTCTTTTATGACGAGACCGATATACATATATATATAAAAAAAAACCAAAAAAAAAAAAAAAAAAAAAAAAAAATTTAAAAAAATCTAAAAAAAAACAATTCAATTATGGTTCGTTTTAAAGTGTCTTTTTTATATATATATATATATATATTTTTAACCAAAACTGTTAACATGAAAAAAATTTTTTTTTTTATTTCTAGCGTAAAAGTAGTGGAATGCAATTGTATATTTTTTTTTGACTCGTGGATCTTTTCATCAAGAAATTGCAAAGGCCAAAGTAAGAGGATTCTTTTTTTTTTTCAAAAGGAATTTTTTTTTTCATGATTTTTGTTAACGATTTCAACCTTTTGTGTATTTTTTAGCCGCAGTCCGCTATTTTGTTTTTGTCATTCATTGTCTTTCCTTAATAATAAAAAATGATAAATCACGCATCATTCAATCACAATCTATCTTGTCAAGTAGTAACATTTCTTATGAACTTTATTTAAATCATAAAAAAAAAAATATATGAAATGGTTCGAGTTTCCTGAAAAAAAAAACGAAAAAATATATAAATTCACGTTCCTTACGTTGAACCATTTTCCCGATCATGAGCGTTATGTAAATGAAGAAATTTTTCTTGAAATTTAATGGATCCCTGAGAAAGCGCTTGCTGACATGCATCGTAATTTGAAAATAAAGCGAATGCGTAATTGCTCTAAAAAAAATAATTAATTAAATAAATAAAATCTTTTTAATATCACTTTTTTTGATTTTACTTACTTCCGGAATCAATTTATACACCGAGTCAACGTGACCAAACATTTCATTTAAGCGATTCTTTATTTGAACGATTTCAATGTTTTGTGGTAATTTTCTAATGAAAACTTTATAGAGTGGTTTTAAGACTACCAATAAAAAAAAAAAAAAATTATTTCATTTTCGAAAAAATCAATGATTGTGACAAACGCAACGTACTATTGTTGTCATCAACTCTCTTGTCCTCATTATGATTTATCACACTCAGCCGTTCATCATTCTTTGATTTAGCGACATTAAGATTCAATTCGATCTTATTATTATCCTTGGAAATCGTCACATTACTGATACCATCTAGGCTTTCATTCACGACGATTTTATTCTTATTCTCATTACTTTCTTGTATAACTTTCATCTCCAGTAACCTTTGTTGGTACAAAATTAATTTGGCTTGATCATTAATGATCTGTTGTCTGTTCTCAAGTAACATTTTAAGTTGTTCATTTAATTGTACGATTATATTCGCTTTTTCTTCGCTACTGCATTCTTCTTGTTCCTTATTATTGATTCGTTTATAATCGGGGAAAACATTTTTATAGAGTTTCGGTTTAAAGAAGAAAGTACTCTCTGGATTAAAAAAAATAACAGGTTTATTAGGTTGTTTATCTCGGATTTTTTAATGCTTTTTATCCGTCGGAGTTTTAATCACCATTTTGCTTTGAATTAAAAATACATTTGAAACAATGATAATCGTATCTTTTGTATATGATCATCAAATTATAATTTACAAAGCATTGTTGTCAACTCCGTCACTCACATACAGTATCATTAATTTGTAATAGAATCAACCTTTCCTACGAAAAATACCATAGGATTGATTGGTCGACTCGACCTAACGGTGGTTTGATTTTTTTTATTTCTTTTCGATTACATTTTTTTTTTTTTTTTTTTTTGCTTTCTTTTCTTTTCTTTTTCTTGCTAAATATGAATATTCATTTTCTCCAAAAAAAAAAAAAAAAAAAAATTTAAAATTAAATTTAAAAGTACGTCAAATGAATGATCTTCATGAATCTATTCCAAAATCGAGTTGGAATGATTCTAGATGTAATCGAATGATGATGAAATTAAAATGCAAGAACTTTTTTTTAATTAACTTGATTAGATAGATAAAATATATTTCATACCCTATGATTCAAAAATAATCACGTTCATGAGGAATTTGCAGATTGACCGAGAAACCATGAATTCTTATGGAGCCTTGTGAAATCGCTTTTTTACACGAATTATAATCCGAAAATAAGGCGAACGCCCATTTATCCTACGAAATAAGAAAAGAAAAAAAAAAAATTTTATTTAGTCCGGGTTTACTTATGTAGCCAACATCAACTAGGATAAGAACTCACGTTGGGAACAACCTTATAGATATAATCAACATTACCAAATTGCTCGTTAAGAAACTTCTTTAGCTGAAACATTGAAATATGCGGTGGCAAGTTTCCAATATATACTTTATAACAAGGCTTTATACCTAAGACAAAGAAAAAAGGTAGGGATAAAAAAAATATATATATATATATTATCTGAAATTTTAGATATTCAACGGGTGACAAAAAAAAAAAATAAAACTCACCCTTTATATAATGACTATATTTTCCTTCATAGCCCGTCAACAATTTACCGCGAGAATTATTGGAAATGACCGTTTCGTCATCAAACAATTCGATCAAATCATTCCCTGACCCATCATTCTCTACCCTATTAGCACATGCGCAGACACATTTACCAAATTGTTTCTCTTGTAACATATCAAGTAACTTTTGTTGAAATTTAATCAATTGAGTCTGTTCATTAATGATTTGTTGCTTACTATCGAGCAATTCTTGATTTTTCTTAATAAAGTTTTGATTCACCCTTGAAATCAATTTGACCTTCTCTTCAAAACTATATTCATCATCATATATGATAGTCGTCATAATTGATTCATCCATGGTGAAAAACAAAAAGTCGGTTTGTTGGAAATTTTTTGATGAATGATGTATAAATTGTCTATCGTTTTTGTGTCCTTGAACTTTTCTGTAAAGCTTTTTCGTTGTCACGTATTTCTGGGACTAAAAAAAAAAAGATCTAAAACGAGGAAGAAGAAATTGGAAAATACGAAAACCTACACGGTAGTTTTTTTTATGCAAGTCTCGCGAGAAGAATCATCTGAATTGCCAAAAAAGGTAATGATACGTATGAGAAATTTTGATGTAACCGGTTATACGACCGAAACTTTCCGGTAACAAAACATATGGATTTATGGGGAACACTCTTTCCGGATTTTCTTTTTTGTTTGGATTTGTAGAATTCGATAGGATGACATCAAATTTTGCGATTCTCGAGATGCAGCGCAGTTAAGTTACACAAGCGAAAATTTCATATTCTTATTTTGACAGTTAAAAACAATGAACATTAAAATTATAACCTTTATAAAAAAAATAATTTAATCATAAAATGATAAATTTGGAAAAATACCTCAAGAGGATAATTTAAGCTGTCAGTCTTTTTATAAAGTTGAATAAGATTAAACTTTCACAAAGCAAATATACGAATTAAAATGCCATGAAGGACGCGTATTATATAGAATGAATCATAATTGTCATAATTTAAAGATGATGCTGAACTTATCAGTTCTTCATAATAATATGATCTTTTATTCGGAATTAATCAACATTTCATCAAAATTCCTTTCGGACCAAGAACTTTTTTAATTAAATTTATTGCACATGATGTTTTAGAGTATTTTATCTATAAAAACTTTTAAATAGAGTTTTTACATGTTTCCAAAACAATTTATTCTAAATAAAAACCTCCTTAAAATAATTGTATTAAAAAAATTAATATGTTTGTAATAGCAAGTCCATTTTTGAGTAATCAACTGATCTCTCTGATAGTATTTTCCATGACTCGGAATATATATAAATAAACACATTTCTTTTTGATATGATATCCGTTCTTATCCCTATGACTTTTCAAATAATCAATGAATTGTAATCTAACTTCAAGAATCTTTTTTGAAAGATATTTGTTGCCAATAACCCCATTTTGTAATTCAAATTTACATGGTGCTAGCTCTAAATTTAATTGTTTACATCTTATCAAAATAAGGTGTAATAAATGATGATAATCTTTGTTACGCAGCATCTTGTTCTTCCGATAATCTAAAAAAAGAGATACCCTTATCCTTTAATAACTGTAATGTAGCGTCATTTTTATTAATAAGAAATTACATATTATTAATAAAGGAAGATAATCTATAAGTTGATGAATAATAAATAGTGTGTTAAATAAATAATGATTAAATACAATTTTCTTTTATGAAGTATAAGCTGGTGGCGGTTCATCGGGACTTCCAACAAATCGAACATCAACCTCTAATTCAATGGTTCTTCTTCTAATAGGGTCTCTGGGTTGTATGTTATGTTTCTTCATATAACCCATAAATTGATCGGGAATTTCTTCTAATACAGCTTTTGGTAGTTGGTATTGTGCTGTTTCTGTTTGAAAATCTCTCATCGCTACGAATTGTACAATATCTCTATCCATTACTATCTCTGCCCTTCTCGTCTGATAATCCGACTTTTGCTAACGTATACATGTGTTAATATTGACTTTTTTTTTGAAAAAAAAAATTAACAAATTACTTACCACTAATGGTCTATCGTCGGCATCAAGTATATTCATATTGGTAAAATCGGCATTGCCAACTCCAACTATAACAATTGACAACGGAAGTACGCTAGCACTCACGATCGATCTGATTGTAGAATCCATATCTAGTAAGAAAGAATTTAAAAAAAATGGGCTAAAGTATCAAAAGATATAGGAAGATATTATTAAAGATAAGATACCTGTTATTACACCGTCTAAATACGAATTAAAAAAAAAAAGTTTTTCATTATATAAATATATATATATATTAAAATACAATGGGTGGCGGTTTGCATCAATAATTGTCAAGTTACCTGTTATGATTAACAGTATATAATAAACATTGTCATTTCCGGCATTAACTTCCACTTTAATTCTCTCTGCTGTTTGATTTATGATCTAAAATTTTTTTTTTTTAAAAAAAAATGATATTAATATAATTAAATTAAATATTTATCAAACTGTGCCACTTCGGTTAAAGCTTACGGGTGAAAAATTAGTTGGGCCGTATAATTCAACACTATGTATAGCCTGTGAATATGCACTCATTATTCCATCAACCCCTTCAACTTCAGGCTAAAAAAAAAAATAAATAAATAAAAAAGCAGTTATTAAAAAAAAATTTTAGAATCAGAACGTGTCAAAAACAAAGGACAGATACCAAACTTAAACCCAACATACATTACTGAAATTATTATTTAGTGGGTGAGCATGTGATAACACACCATTGAATTTTGCACCAAATCCATATACTGGAAACATTCTGTCATAATCATATCCTTCCAATCTATGATAAAAGAAAAGAAAATCAACAAAAAGAGCACGATACAAAAATTTCCGCTTTGATGATAGTCAACTTACATCTTCCCAACGCTACGAATCGCTCTCTGATAATCATTTTCCCTTCGTCCATTGATATAATGCAAACTTTTCGGCGTTCGAGGATCTCCATTAGATCCCGTAAAATCAATTGCGGCTACAAGATTTATCTCTGTACCGCCGGCAATGTAATCTAAAAATGTTGGAGGTTCTTCGATTGATGCGTGAGGAACTGTTATAATTGTATCTTTTCCAACTTTCCCATTTACACCTGGAGGTAAACGTAATGCAAATGACTTTTTACCCGATAAAATTTCATTAAGGGTGACAGTACATTGCCCAAGAATTAGATAAGCTATAATTTATCAAACATTGTTATTAATCTTTTTTTCCTTCACGGGTAAAATAATAAGAAATACCATTTAATGTAATCACGCACATCCATTCTTCTTTTCTTGTCTTACTTGTAATTGTAATGATCGATCCAAATCTCCATTACATAAAGTCGCTTCCTTGACTATAAATCAAAAAAAAAGCGTGAATAAATTGATCATGATAATAAAATAAAAGATCCATTGGTCAAAAAGCGCATTTACTGGTAAATTCGTCCCAAATCGGGTTCGCTGAAGAAATTCCAGCAGATTTGTAAACTGGTGAAAATGTGTCATCTTCGCTTGCTCTACTGACAATTAAAAATACCTCAGGTTTCGATTTAAACAAACCGCTCTGGATAAATCAGGAAAATATTTGAAAATTAAAATTTATAATTGAATTAAATTTATTAATTAAATTTTTATCTTTTTTTTAAAAAAAAAAAAAAATTCTTCCTACCTTTGAAAATATGTTATGAGCTTGAAACTGTAATCTAATTAATTTTTTTTTTTTTAAAAAAAAAGAATAAACATTTAATTATCGTGTCGAATATTCAAAAAAATAATACTCCAAGATTTATCTACCTTGCGTCTCTTTTTGACTTGCTTACTTCTTCGGTTGATATGACTATATATCCTCGATCTTTTCCTTGATGTTTCGGATCATATAATTTTCCTTTCATCTTACCACCTTGACAACCAACTAATTAAGATTGTATTATCAAAAAAAAAAAAGATTATAAGTTTGGTAAATTTCTCCAATATCTTCGCATGAAGCAAAAGTTAAACAATGTAATAATAATGCATATATAAATTACCTAAAGAACCAAGGTCACAATCAAATTGACCTATAAACTCTTGTTCTTGCCATTTAGGATTATTTGGTTTATCAACGTCTACACAAATAAATCTATAAAGAGTACAGATAGGTAAATTGATAATGGAATTTATTAAATAGAAAAAAAAAATTTAAAAAATCTCGTTTACATACCTAAGCTGTTGTAATTCTTCAAATAAATAATCAAGGATAAAGCTTGTTACGAACTTTGGATTTAAATTGTTCATAACAACTTCGGTTTGTTGGTTAGTTGGTTTCCACTTTTGAGTACGAATGTCTTTAATCAATAAAATAATCTGTGGATCACTTTTGGAAAGATAATCTAAATCTGGCAAATCGATACAAGAAAGTTTAAGTTCCACTTGGGAATGAGCATATCTTGGTGGTGGAGTTCTCATATTAAAGGATTATTATTGATGATAAAAATTTTAGATTTATTTTTTCGAAAAAAAAAAGGTTGAATTCTTAAAGGGAATATTTAACTGGTACTCTCTGAGTACATGATCTTTTTATACTTTTTTGAATAAAATTTTCTTTTACCCAATCAAGATATTCGAAAGTAACACAAAGAAAATTCTGTAAATTGTAATTGTTTGTCACACTTAAAGTTCTTCCAAAGAATACCTTCAACGAAGTAATTTACCTGGAATACCTCAAAATGTTTGTATGACAAAATAAAATTAGGAATAAAATTAGATATCTCCGAAATTTATTTCAAGGAAAGAATAAAAAAAAGTAAATAATAAAACAATAAAAAGTGTTAAAATAAAGTTCATTAATGATGCATGATAAACAACTTATATTCTTTTAAGGGATTCTGCAATAAATTCCGCACCATTATAAAATAAAATTATTCAATTATTCATGCACATTTATAGTAATAAAATCAGTTTCATGCAACCTATGAAAAAGGAAAAATATTACGGAGAATTTTGTAATGTTCAGAAAAATTATTAGGAAACATCTTTTTATTTAACAATACTCTACAATTGTTCGATAAAGATATTCTTCTAAAGTGGATGTGAATGATTTTGTAGCTCGACTATACAACAAAAAAGACAATTATAAAAAAATTGTTCCTGTCGCGTACCATTAAAATCAATCAAATTTATCAACAAAGTGAACACATTTTCTTAATAAAGTCCAAAACATTTTCAATACCAACAGAGTAACAGTTAATAATAAACTAAACATTAATAATCTTTCCCTGTCTTTTAATATAATAAATTCAATTGAATTTCCCAAATTCTTTTGTATTTCGAGTGCAATTTGATAACTTAAAAACATCCAATAGATAAGAGAAAGTGCATCCGTCATATATCCCATTTTGTCAATCTGTTTTTCTGTAAAGTGTGTTTTTCCGTATAATAGATACAATTCTTTTTTACCTATTGATCAAAAAGTTGTGAAAAATAAAAAAGTGTATAGGATTTTCCAAATATGAAAATCCATCAAAAAAATTATTAGGCGTCGTATCAAACAACAGAGAAACTTACCCAACATTATAGCGATAACATCGCAGAGGCAAATATTTCCGTTGCTGTATTGGTGAATTTGATAAATGTTTGATGCACGAGGAGCCAATTCTAAAGCAGTAATTATAACAAATACGTAAGTGGAAACGGCATTATTGTAGGACTACAAAAATAAATAAATAAATAAAATTCATATTAATTTTTAGTCCGTTTCAAAAAAAAAAACTTGGAAAGCTAAATTAATGAATTGTCTTACCTCGAATGGATTAGTTCGAACGTAAAAAGATAAAATTAAAATGATGCTTCCGATAAGCGTATAAACATTCAATAGGGTCAAAAAAACCCAATAAGATCGTCTCCACCAAGAAGGATTATTCATTGAGGAAATTTTCTCGGATATTTCGTCTTTTATATCAATTACTACAGATTCACGGTCACTAACAGATGATACGACTCTTATGCTATCATTTACAGATAACCGGGTATCCGTATAGTTGACAAGGTGCATATGAATGCAATCGTTAGATTGAGATTTTCTAAAGTGTTTTGCGGAATTCTTATGAGAATCGGGAAAACGAAAAGGATCGTACGTAGGTTCAGGCATAGGAAGCGGTGGATTTGATAATTGGGAGACTGGGCGCGTATACTCGCGTGGATTTGAATTAGGTGAACAATATATACATCGATGCGGGTAAACTAAATGGTGACGTGACCACCCAGCTGGAGGAAGACGTTGCATGGTTAAATGTTGCGAAAATATGTTTTAGGTGCGCAGCGAAAAGAAGGTAATTTTGAATTAGTTGTTAAGAAATGAAAAAAAATTATTTTCCTCACCTTTTGAAATTTCATAACAATATTTATAAGATTCTTAAATCCTTTCACAAATTTTTTCGTCCGCTGATAATCAAGTTTCGTTTAAGTTAAATATTAACATAATTTTTATGTAGGAATCATAATAAATTATGCAACTGTTTAATTTAATTTCTCTTTTTGCGTGACAGATTTTGTCAATAGCTAAATCAATGAGTCGAGAGATTAAAGTTTCCCATAAGATGACTTCGTGATGACACACTTGTTTGTAACACCAGTATCGATAAAAGAATAAAGTAAATTATTTCGATTATTGGCTTTCGTAAAAAGATGTGTGCACAATGACTCATGAATGTCTAACTTGAAACAAGGTACAATGCTTTTTTTGGGGGGTTCCATGCCTATAAAAAAAGTCAATTGAAATATAATTTTAGGTAATTATTATCTAAAAAGAATTTTCTAAATTAATATAGAATGAAATACCAAAATTAACTTTTTCTTGCATAAAAATGTCCAGATATGAAATATATTTGTAAAACATGCGCTAAACTTATCACAAAAAAAAAAAAACCTTCTGATCGATCCAAAAATTTTGGATGATCACTTGCAAAATCATGCACCACACGTTTTAATCAATTACGGATGAAATAAGTAATTATGTTTCATCTTTTTCTGCATTCAGAGAAAAACAAAAGTTTCATCTTTACAATGTGCATAACCCTAACAAGAAATTATTCTGCACAATTAATTCAATGAATAAGCTCCAAATAGGAAAATATTTTACCACAAATTTTTATGAATTCATAATGGGGGTATGAGGCTTTTATTTAAAGAAAGGAAATTAAAAAGATATTGTCATCGTGTTTAAATTTACGAAAGTAAAAGAAACATGATACGCGTAGGGATCATGTGCAAGAATTCTTGGTACAATAGCCATAAATATTACAAGTTTTGAACAATTATTACTTCGTGAATCAACCATCTTTTGCGACGTTTCATTCAACAATTGTGCACGTTTGCCTAGACAATATACAATATTATAGTGCTTACTAAAAAATCATATTTGAGATGAAACTTAAATGTTCATCTACCACGCGAATACCCTGCTTCGACATTCGGTTGATTATATTTTTGGAGTTCTGGGATACCTTTAAGGTCCGTTGTGTAACATTCATTATTCTTCCAGACAAATATAATAATTTTTATGAATTCTTCTCGCTATTTTCACTCCATATTATGCAATCCTTCATGCGACTGCTTTTTTTTTTTAAAAAAAAAATAGATAATACATTTCAACAGGTTTCTGCTTATTAAAATGTTTTTTATTTCTTTGGTTTTTCAAAAATGTGAAATGTCATTGATTTATGTTATTGTTTATTCATTTGGATTTAACTTTTCTAGTCATTATTTTTTTTTGACAAAATTTTAATATAAAAATAAATTGTAGGAATTACATGTATGTTTGATTTAATGAGCCCCCAAAGTTTAAACCGCGTTCGACGAATCACGTCACGTGATTTCAAAGAAAATGCTGTTTATAATTAATAAAGCCATATTATCTATAGGATAATGAAGAGTTTCTTCCGTAATAGTTGATCATTTCATTGAACATTGATACTACGATAAACATTGGGAAATTTGCGTTTTTTTTTGACGATAATTAATAATCCCGAGAAATCCGATCCTTTCTCTTGCCGCTTTAAAAAACAATAATATATTTGCTTTAGATTCGCGTTTATATTTCTCACAGTGACGCCAAACTTTTGAGGATTTCGCTATAATGGTGATAGTAAAGGCTAGAAAATTCGAAGTGATAAAGCAACAGGCGGCACGTAATTTTGATTACAAAAATTTGTTATTTATGTTTTCTAACAAAATTTGGACACTTTGATATTATCATTACATTGATATTTCATAAAAAAAAAAGATCAGTTTCAACAGGCACAGCAAAAACGGAAATGCTGAGTAAAACTATTAATTAAATCATTAACGTTAATATTAATTCAGGATCTAAATTTATTACTCTGTCAAAAGTTGTTGTTGAGATTCTTCATTAATCAAGATCTTATGTTTCTATTCTAATACGATTTGAAAGTTGAACGTCCATTTTCTTCTTTTTCACCAAAGGTTATTGTATTTTTCTTTCGACATTTATTTTTTTCCTGCGTTATATTTGATTAATGATATTTGCATTTTATGAGAAACTTTTTTTCAAAGCCAACTT